CTAGCCTTGAGCTGAAGAGCTGAGGGACAGCGCCCAGGCCCAGAGTTCAGGCCCCACTACCGGACCCAAAAAAAAAAAAAGAAATTTCTAGCAGGACAAGTAGACTATAGACCTTGAAACCCTGAGACATTTCAGCAAAGTGAGTAGCCACTTCTAAGTAGAGAATAAACATGTTAGAAGTTCTACTTTTTCCTTTTTTTTGCTAGACATAGGGCTTGAACTCAGGCCCTGGGTCCTGTCCCTGAGCTTTTTCACTCACGGCTAGAATTCCGCCACAGCTTCCATTTCTAGCTTTTATTTCTTGGTGATGAATTAGAAATGACTCCTCAGATTTTCCTGCCTGGACTTGCTTCAAACCACAATCCTCAGATCTCAGCTTCCTCCTCAGCCTCCTTGTAACCCTAATACTAGGATTATAAGCAGTTCCTGGCAACTTTTTTTTTTGGTCTGGTCGTGGGGCCTGAACTCTGGGCCTGGGTGCTGTCCCTGAGCTCTTCAGCTCAAGGCAAGCACTCTATCACTTGAGCCACAGCACCACTTCCAGTTTTCTGGTGATTAATTGGAGATGAAAGTCTCATGGACTTTCCTGCCTGGACTGGCTTTGAACCGTGATCCTCAGATCTCAGCCTCCTGAGTAGCTAGGATTACAGGCGTGGGCCACCAGCACCCAAAACCCAAGAGAACCTTCTGAGAACAAGTCACCCTATAGAACTTTTTGTTGTACATTTGTTCGCCATTACACCCACACAGGTAGTTTGCAAGTCACATTTTTATACAGAACATACTTTTATTTATACAGCAATAGAAATGCACAAAAATTGTTTTCCAGAGTTAATGGGTTATGGAAACATTGTTGGAAAATTCCTTTGGCTTTTCTGAATTGTTTGGTTTTATTTGGATGGTCCTTGTGTCCCAGGAGGCAGAGAATTAGCACAGATACCTGCTGATATCACTTCAAGGAGTGGTCAGGCACAGCAGCTGGTGTAGGTACCCTGTTCTCTGCCAGCTAGTCTTCCAGCACAAAAGGTAGCATGAATGTACTGAGTTCTAAACCTCTTCATTCACATTGGCTGTCTGGAGACAATAAATGTTTTGACAGGGAAAGAAATCATCTCATGTATTGGGCACTTTTGGTATCAGCATGGGTCTTAAAACATCTTTTCCACAATAAGGTTTCAGGGAGACCAGATCTGCAGTCCTCAATCACCAACCAATAATCCCACCTTGTGGACAAGGCTGTAGGCTAGGAAGACGCTGAGAGGCTGGCATATGCCCATGTCACAGCCTGACTGGAGAGCAGGCTTTTCTTTTCACCTTCTCCAAATAATTGCTTCTGCAATGTGTGAGAAGCTCTAAGAATAAAGATGACCAAAATTCCCTGCTGTATTAGATAAGACAAGACTGAAATGTACTGGACAATAGTATCCATTGTCTAATTATAGCCCTTTCATTTTTCTGACATGTACAAACTTGAGTATTTGAGAAAATACCAAAAAGTATTAAATAAATGAGAATGTGCTATGGCCAATCAATGAGAATTGTTTTAGCCAAAAAGAATGAAGGTTCACTTCTATGAACCTCAAGCCATATCCTCCCTCCAAAACAATCATGTGTTGAAATCTAACTCTCAAGGTAATAGTATTAGGAGATTGAATAATTAGCAGGCAAGGCAAGTGGGAAAGAATGCAATCAGAACTCATAAAGTAGACCCCAGAGGTGGGTAAAATAGTACATGTCTATAATCCTCAGGAGACTGAGACTAGCCTAAGTAACATGGGGAGACCTCATGTCAAAAAAAAAAAGAGAGAGAAAGATCTCAGAGAGCTAACCAACACCTTCTGCCATATGAGGACACAACAATGAGGTACCACCTATGAACTGCATTAAAACTCCTAGACTCCAGAACTATGAGAAATAAATTCCTGATGTTTTTAAGCTATCCACTTTGTACAATTGTTAGACCTTACATTGAGGGTATCTTTAGAAAACTAAACCCATCTGAATAAAAGTGAATGTGGACTGAATATTAGTAATACTGTTGATCAGTATTAAATTCTTTGAAGTTGATCCAATTGTTCTTGTTAAAAAATTCATTTGGCTTTAGGGGAGCCATACTTGTAGTCATGTAGGTATACAAGATTAAGATGTCTGCCACTCCGTGTTAAGTAGCTCAACAAAGTAGTCACAGTAATAATATAAAAGAGACACAGAGGGAGGATCTGGAGAGGTGTTTACAATCACAGAATGTAGATGAAGCATATGCAAGTGTGTAAAAGTCTCACAACTTCTCTACAAGTTCTGCAAGATTTCAAAATTTAAAGCTCAACAAGGCAAAGTACAGTGATTCGTCAGAGAAGCAATGATTTAAAACAGAGACATTGTCAAAACACAGCAACTGGATGGAGCTCGCTGGAGTGCAGTCAAGTGAGTGTTTTGTGGGCGTGTTTCTGAGCGTGTTTCTGCTCAGGGTTTTCTTGGGAAGTCCAAAGCACCTGTGGATAGAGGCATGGAGTTAAAGGCTGTGCTTCCTTGCGAAACTAACTTCTATCTACCAACGCGCTCGACCCGCGAGGCCTGGCTGTGACATCTGCCCCTGGTGCCATCTCGAGGCAGGAGATATATCCACTCCAGGAGAGGGTTGGCCTTCTCTCTCCTTCTTTCTGTTGGGAGCCTCTCAAAACCCTGCTCTTCTGGACTCTTCCAGATTGTATCCTGGTTGTTTCTGAAGGTGCTTTAAACCCACCAGAAAGAAATATGCTCTGTACTAATGTAGGTGCAGGCTGCCAATATTCAAGCTCCTCAACTTCTTTTATCTCATTCTTTAAGTTGTTCGCTTTCTCCTTCTCCGAGAAAGGCAAGCTGCAGGAAGAAGAAAATTCCAAGTTTCAATTTGTCTGATGTGAAATTTCCTTACACAATCATTGCAAAAGATACTACATGCTCCAAAAGATACACATACACAGTTTTCAAATTTAGAACTCATGTCTGTAATTCTAGCTACTCACGAATCAGAGATTAGGAGGATCATAGTTCCAGGCCAGAGCAAGTAAAAAAAAAAAAGTTCAAGAGAATCCTATTGTAATCAGAAAGATTGGACATGGTGGTATGATGGTATGATCCATACCAGGAGAAAAATCCAACAGTAGAAACAGAGCTGATGGCCCATGCCAGTAATCCTAGCTACTCAGGAGGCTGAGATCTGAGGATCACAGTTAAAAAGCCAGTCCATGAGACTCTTATCTCCAATTAACCACCAGAAAACCAGAAATGGTGCTGTAGCTCAAAGTGGTAGTACATTAGGGCTGGGAATGTGGCTTAGTGGTACAGTGCTTGCCTAGCATGCATGAAGCCCTGGGTTCCATTCCTCAGTATCACAGAAACAGAAAAAGCCAGAAGTGGCACTGTGGCTCAAGTGGTAGAGTGCTAACCTTGAGCAAAAACAAGGCTCAGGGACAGTGCCCAGGGCCTGAGTTCAAGCCCCAGTACAGGCAAAAAAAAAAGTAGTAGAGCTTTAGCCTCCAACAAAAAAGCTCAAGGATACCACCCAGGCCCTGAATTCAAGCCCCACAAATGACAAGGGGAAAAAATCAAATGAGATTTCTACAGATCAAAAATACAATAGCTGGGAGCTAGTGACTCAAGCCAGTAATCCTAGCTACTCAGGAAACTGAGATCTGAGGCTTGCTATTCAAATCCAGCCCCAGAATTAGAAAGCCTTTGAGATTCTTATCCCCAATTAACCATCTAAAAACCAGAAGTGGAGCTACCTCTAAACTAGTAGAGAGCTAGCCTGGAGCAAAAAAAAAAAAAAAGTCAACGAGAACACCCAGACACTGAGTTAAAGCCCCAGCACCAACAAAAGAAAAAAAAAGTTAGGAGGGGGGGTTGGATGGGGGGGTGTAGTTGTGGAGATGGGAGGGAAAGGCTGGGAGGGGAAAAACAAAGGAGGAGGCAACAATGCTTGATAAGAAATGTACTCATTACCTTGCTCAAGGTAACCCCTCTGTACAGTATTTTCACAATAAAAAAAAAAGAAATGGAAAAACAAAAAAAACCACAAAAGTTAGCCAGTGCCAATGGCTCACGCCTGTGATCCTAGCTACTCAGGAGGCTAAGATCTGAGGATCTGTTCAAAGCCAACCTGGGCAGGAAAGTCCGTGAGACTCTCAGCTTCAATGAACCACCAGAAAATCTGAAGTGGCACTGTGGCTCAAGTGGTAGAGCACTTGCTTTGAGCTGAAAAGCTGAGGAACAGCATCCAGGCCCAGAGTTCAAGCCCCACGACTGAAAAAAAAAATAGTAGATGGAATTAGCAGAATATTAAAATACTGCAGAAGGAAACACTGAATCTAGGAAACAACCAATAGTAAATCCCACAACAGAACCTGAAACTGGAGCTTTTGTCTCTCCTGATTTGACATCAGGTGGCTACGCCCTGAAGAGGGAGCCAACTCTCCACAAATAGTGTCTGGTCACCAGACATGCTGGTGTGCAGTGCTTTGTCCTTTTAAAAAACACCTACTGCCGGGCGCTGGTGGCTCACGCCTGTAATCCTAGCTACTCAGGAGGCTGAGATCTGAGGATCGAGGTTCAAAGCCAGCCCGGGCAGGAGAGACCGTGAGACTCCTATCTCCAATAAACCACCAGAAAACCGGAAGTGGTGCTGTAGCTCAAGTGGTAGAGTGCT